TCTCATTGTGCCTTTAAAGGAAGATCAAACATTTCTAATGCCTCGGACTGTTCTTTGACCTGGTGGTATCTTGGCCTCACTTAACAGCCACGCTGGTATATATATATATATAAACAACCCCCCCCCAAAATAATTTTAAAAAAGGATGAAGAGAGGGAACGATAGAGGGAAAGAAACAGGCTGAACAAAGCTGGGAGTGGAGAGACACTGAACACAGTGGCCGTTGTGTGGATGAAGGGCGAACTTGGCACAAATGCGAGGCGGTCTGTAAGAGTATCCTGTGCTGCTCTCTGCACCATGTCGGGCTCCTCAATACTGTCTTTGTCCTCGCAATGCACACAGTGACACTGAGAATGCACACACAGCAACACCTGGTCCCTCAAACGCTGTTTGCTCCCACTTCTGGAAGTATGACAACAGGCCAGCATATTCTGCAAAATTTATTAAAAAAAAAACAAAAACTCTTTGACTGGACGTCAACTCACATCTGGTGCAATTTTACAGACATATGATGATGTTTCCTGGGTGAAATTGTGAAAAGGGGTCAAAGGATAAGGTGTAAAATGGGAGCATGGGCGATATCCTTGACCTCGCAAGAAACTTTGCAGTTGGATGATGGGATGGCAGCAGCTTTTTGCTTTTAGTAACCTGACCTACACAGAGAGCGGACGAGGCCGAGATAAAGGGAGAAAGGACCGTTGTCCACGACCCCAAGAAAAGGCAGATTAGAGCAAGCCTGGTATCAGGTGTACAGGCCCTCAATCCCAGCCTTGCTGGTGCATTTTGGACATGGCGGTTTATTCTTTTCCTCCAATGCCGCAACTTCTCAGCTAGCGAGTATTGCGTCCCGATTTGATAAGCGGTTATGATTTCGGATTCTTTTGTTATTGCTGAAATATGTTTGGATTACTTTTTCCAGGACAATGCTGCCTTCGCACAACGGATCCACGCATGTGAATTTTCATTGTCTGAAATTCCTGAGTAATGAGAAGTCCTCCCCAGCAATGAACCCTCACTCATCTTTTTCATTTTAGTTGATCTCTTCTCTGACAGTCTCCTGTTGTTAATGAAAACACAAAAAGATTGTTTGTTCCGGGCAGGATCCCCCCCATAATACCAGACAAATCTTCTCCTCTATTCTTCACTTTCTGATTCCCCCTGATTTTCAACATACTTGAACACAAGCCACTCTTTTTTTTTTTTTTTTTTTACTGAGGGCACTTCACCTGTGTTTCTCTTGACTATGGCTTTTATCCACGGTCCAGTTTAAATGAACCCATCTAATGCTGCAGGAACCCCTGGTTCAGTTTTTGAATCTCAGCATTAGCCTTCCTGATTGGATTGGGATGTTTTCCCTGTGCTTGCGTGGCTTTTGTCCGGGTAATGTTGACGTTTTTAAATTCATGGTTTTCTGCAGTCCATCCTGCAGAGGTATCAAATTTACTATTCTGACACCCTGTTGGCTTGTATGCCCTCCATTGCACCTGTGCATCCATCCATCCATTTTCAACACCGCTTATCCTGAACAGGGTCTCAGGGAGTTGTTGGAGCCTATCCCAGCTGACTCTGGGCAGAAGGCGAACTACACCCTGAACCGGTCGCCAGGCAAAGTCTTAAAGTATTCTGTTTTGTAAACGTCTGCCTTTAGCTTTGTTTTGTATCCGAAGCACAGAGTTACCTCGTGTCTGAAATGCGTGATTTTAAATGAAGCCGCCTTGCCTTGCCTCAACAGCGGACTCAACATTGACTGTCCTTTCCACATTTTCTGTCCCAACTGTACAACAGCAATTGATGTATGACTAACGTGGAGTTACACACTGATGATCTCATATCCACATTGGTAGCACACACACTCGCGTATCAATAAGTTATTGCAACCGTTTCACCATCGACCTGAATTGTTTGGATGTCTATTTGACCAGTTTCCTTAGGCGAGTTTATCTGGCCAGTAAGTCATAAGAAATAATTTTCCCAAAAGGTCCACCAGCTCACACTCAGCCCCTCCAAATCCCTTCATCCACAAATCATTGCATTTCTGCGCTCCTTATTTTGTTTGTTTTATCTCATCCTCGACATCCATCCCACACAGCAAAATATCAGAATGATCAATCAGCAGGCGAGCTCACACTGCTGCTATTGTCAGCACCATACCAGAGTCAAGGAACCTCTGTTTGCATCTTTTCTCGGACGGGTCATATAGTCCAGCCTTTGTCCAACCCGCCCATATTGATGGAATCTGAAAGTAAGCAGAATCTCTGTGCATATCAACAGCAGGACTGCAGAACAATGGCACAAGCTTGAGTACAAATGTGCCCTTTATGTCCAGTGGGGGGGAAGGAGGGAAAAGCGGGTTGTCGAACTGGGGTGTGTGTACTGTATTGTTATACTATAGATCAAAATGAGATTACACGACTTACACTGCAACACGTATAGCCATACACAAATGCGCATATCTTAAAACAAGCACGGCGAGCTGTCATTGGAAAACCCATCGTGACCACCATCCTTGTCTCCTTGCTGCCACTCTCCCTTGATGGCTCTTCCCTTCCGACCCTTTGACAGCTGCGCGGGGGGCGCTATTAGTTGAAGCCACAGGGAGTCGCATCCGACGAACAACTCCAGCTATAGCCTGAGGAAATGCAACACCTCTGTGGGGTCAACAAAAAGCCATCCTGACATGTGAGCTTTCTCCTCTGTTCCCGCTTTTAAATAGCAGGAACAGCGCAACACATCATTACTGCTCGGTCAGTGAATGGTGGCCTCACTCATCAAAACCACTTCCGCTATTTACATTTACATCCCCCCGTTATTAGTTTGAGAGTAACAGCAAGAAAATACAGAGTAGTAAAGCAACACTGCAAAATTACATTGAAACTTAACCCTTTCGGGGACAGCGGTTACTACAGTGGACAGCTGATCATGTTATCAGGTTACATGGTGCATGAAAGGGTTAATATTAATGTGAATGCGCTGTTAGCATCTGCAACTGAGCATAGCATCGACTTGTACACAGTATATAACAGTCAGGGACATGCACTCAGCAAACGCTTCTATTTTTCTTAATCAATTATAGATGATCACGAGGCTGGCTGTGAATCGGACATGGCATGCAATATGGGCACTTCCGCGATCGCTCTTCTGGTGGGACACAATTGTGCCGGAGTTCACCGCTCAACAGTTTGTACAAAACTTCTGTGTCTCCAGGGAGTCATTCCTCTACATCTGCGATCGTCATGATAACTCCGCCCCCTGACGCAGTTGGTGCCGGAGTCTGGTCCAACAAATGATTGGGGCAAGCTGAAGCACCAGTTTCAAGCACCAGAGCGAGAGCCAATTTCGGCGGTGGAAAAACAAAGAACTGGTGCTAAACTGGGCACTGGCCCGGAACGAGCATGAGCACATGCATGGTGGAAAAGGAACATGAGGGAGAGTGTTTTTCAATTGCTGGCTTTCACCTCAACTCAACTCCACTCTGTTGACCTTTGACACCAACAAGTCACAAAAAACCCTTCACCCACATCTTAACCCTTGGAGAGTGAGACCACTGGTTTCTTGTTGGAGAATTTTCTTCAGTTGGCCAAACTTAACTAGCCCACGGGAATTGTTTGTGTGTGTGTGTGTGTGTGTGTGTGTGTGTGTGTGTGTGTGTGTGTGTGTGTGCGCGCGTGCGTGTGTATAAAAGTATCGTATTTTATTTCGGTAATTGCAGCAGAGGAAAACACTGAAAGTTTCCAGACATAAAAATAATGAAGTGAAGTACAAAAATGTGAAAATAATGTCTGAGGAAAGTAATAAAGTTTTGTACATCACAAAAGGGATTGTTGGCTAGCCTGCTGGCCCTGTGAGGTGAATTTGCTCATATAGTTTAAATTACAGCTGCCAGCACTACTGATTATGAAGGCCGTGAGCAGATTACGGTTCCATGGCAGCACGTACTGGAAGCAGTGCAGTCAAGAGAAACACTCCAAAAGAAATACAACTTCATAAAACACACATTTGTCAGTTAATGCTTCTGGTAGTGTTTAGGCCAGCAGAGGCACTGATGCCTAACCGGTGATAAATGAGTGTGAATGGTTATTTGTCTTTATATGCCCTACAACTGCCTGGCGACCAGTCCATGGTGTGCCCCAGCGTCTCGCTCAAATGCAGCTGGAAGAGGCTCCAGCATGGATGTAACTGGAATAAGGACAAACTGTGAAGAAAATAGACGAATGGACAACGTATCATTGAAATAAAGAAAGCGCTGTTAGGGATGTATCAGACCTCTGGTGGAGCCTACTCTGTAACGTATTGTGATTGGTCAATGAACGTTTTGGGATTTCGAGTCCCACAAAAGGCCAATTTTCAAGTTTAGGCTCATTAGCAGTTACAATAGTCGTCACCCAACACATAACGAGCATTTCATCGAAGCCCTCCGCTAAGATAAGATGATACTGTATATTACTGACTTACATCACCTAAAACAGAAGCGATGTAATTTCCTACAGACGTGATGAAACGCTCAAAGCACCCTGCTTTCAAAGTGCTGCCAAAGTATCTACTGCCCCCTTGTGGATTATATCAGCACAGCGCTGGCACGCACCGTCCCCGCTCAAACGCCCAAGTTGGGAGCCCCGACCCTCAGCAGCACCCAAAAACGTCAAAAATTACAATTTTGATACTTTATTGTGTCCTTGATCAGAATATACATGTTTCTTTGAGTATATCAAGATTAGAATTTGCCTTCAGATGTTACAACTGAATAAATCAAATTATTCATCCATCTATTTACCAATCTGGTTTACGAAAAGTAAAATAAATGGTTAACAGCGTCGAATGCTTTAAAGTGTCTACACTAAATTCATGGAATACCACCCCAGTCACACGCCCCATTCTTCAGTTTTGTGCTAAACATTTTGCGTCAAGCAAGGTTATCCTATGATGAAGAGGCACTTATCAACTGGCTCATCAGATTTGGCACACTCTAGCCACCAAATATTAGTAAATGTGACAGTAAAATTTAATTGTAATCACTTTTATTTCAGCATAAGTGGTTTTGAAAACATCTCACACTGTTAAACATTTTTTTTCTTGCAACCTCTGAGATAAGCAAACATCAATATCATCAAAGATAGCCAAGGCCAATTATCCGTGCCAAATAACATTTTGAAGCAAACGTTTTGACAACAGTTGAGAAAGACAAGTGGGGTGCAAAATGGCCAAAAACAATAATTACACTTTGTACATGAATTTAAAAAACTACTTAAAAGTGTATCTCTCCAAAAGTTGAATTGGAAAGGAGCAGTGATTTGACAAAACTGAACAAATGCCCTTGGGAATAGCATCATCTTTACCTTTGTGACTGTGTGTATGCATACGTGCGCCATTTTTTTCTACCATATACATTATTATAGACGCCTACTGAGTCTTATAAGGCATTATGTGGTCAATCTAAAACACAAATTACAGTGAAATTAAAAAAAAAAAAAAAAAAGTGTTTCCAAACAGCAAACATGAAATAATTGCCAGAAAAAAATCCAAGTTAAGGCAAAGACTACATTAAAAAAAAAAAAAGCTGAGGAAATCAAACCAAATGCGCCCCCCGCCCTCCTGCTCCCGAAAAAAAGTGCCAGCAAAGAGCCTGATGATGTTGGAAATGTTTTGTTGGCCTGTCTGTTATTATAATTGGGCTCAGTGAGTAGTCAAAGAGGAAGCTGTATGCAGAAGCGTTTCCACACCAAGACACACAAACACAAAAGAGCATTTGCAGACCACTGACCACTGTGGAATGGTTGCTTACAGACCCACTGCAATAAGAAATAAGAATGAAATACAGAGTGTACATAAAAGTCACAGGTATTCATGACAGAACGAGATGAGTATTAAATACATTCATGAAGACTTCTCAACAAACAAAACAATAAAACAGCTCAAAATCAAGTAGATGACCCAACGGCTCAAGCCCAAAGGCTACATACAACATTTCAGTTAAATGACTACCATACAGTTGGGGGGGACAGACATGTGGGAGGTAGGTGACATGGGTGATTCGTTTTGCAATATTGAGCTTGTATTACACACGGTCCAAGAGTTTTAAAAAATCTGTTCCAATTTATATTAGTATTAAGCCGCGCAGACTAGTTTTGTTTTGACAAAGAGAGGTGCATTTGGGAATTTTTTTTAATTTACACAGTATGAGATGCAGAGTAATAAAAATCACTGAGTGAAAAGTCTGCGATAGATTTTAATCTATTGAGGAAAAAAAATGTTGATCAATGTACGGTCCGGTTTCCTCTGGTTGATTTCAAATAAATAAAAAAAGGTCGCATTACTTAATTCCAGTACGGGCGAGTGTTGATTTTGGGGATGGGGTTGGTTGCTCAGTAAAACCTTCATTTCAACACTTAACGTGAATCCGAACAGCAGCTACAATCTGCAATATATTGCGCCTGCTGGTCCATTCACACCGAAACAGTGTGCGTGCGTCGCGCCCTAAATCCATGAGGATGATTATGATGGTGGTGCTTTCGCTGGTACCCAAAAACAATTCCCTGAGAACTCCAAAGACGTCAACTACATTTATGGCAAAAAGCTGGGGATGTTCACTTGAGAATGATTTAAAAATCCAAATATACAGTATATTTTACAAAATAATGCATTGGAGTATTACAAAGATAAGATGTATTAAAAGCCAATATTTACAGATGGATCGATGCTGAACAGGGATGATCAACTTCCCAAAGCTTGGAATTATCCAATCGTCTTGGCACGTGTCAACATACAAACGTGGTGCTGGTGGTGGGGGAAGGGGGGGGAAGTGTATCTTTGTAGCGAAGCAGTCAGGAGAGTGTTGTTTTTGATGCATGTTGAACATTCATCTTATTCCCAAACAGTAATCAAAAACATGGACAATTCAAATTCTACAGATGATAATCAGCTGACTCTTCTGACTGTGGTCCAACTGGGCATAAAAGCTGGATGTATGCTGTGATATGCTGTGGTAGAAACATACATTTGCCTTTTTTTGTATTCATATTTTTTTTTTTTGACGCGAACCATTTATTTGTTTGTATGTGCATTTGTATGTTTTTTTTTTGTGTGGTTTTTTTTTTTTTTTTGCATTCCATACTTAAGTCTCTGGATGCTTATTTTGGCTTCAACCAATGGACCACTCCAAAAGGGGTCCATTGTTCCATGTCGTACTCAACAAACGCTAAATTCTTCACAGTATGCCTCAGGATCCAACACGACCTCCATATATTCTTTTTTTTTTCCCTTTATAAAAAATAAGTTATTGCGCATCCAAAAAAGTGCATTTGTATCGTTGAAAAATAGCTCTATCTCTCATTTCTTCATGTTTCTAATTAGGTGGCTTCCTGTCAACAGGGTGCGGGTGGAGGGCAGAAGAGAAGTGGGGAAAAGGAGCGAGGTCGCGCTACGCGATGACCATGGGAACGTCGTCTGAGAAGCCGCTGATCATGGGTGCGTCTTCGTCATCATCCACTGGGGACAAAAGAGAGCGATAAAGGTCAAACCGGGCGAGAGATATTTGTTGTTAACTAATCCTTCGTGAGATAACATAACTGTAAGGACAATGGCACCGATAACTTCATCGTGCAGAGAACACCAAAAACGTCACAAGCGTGTCGTAAAATATGACAGACCTGAGTTACTACCGGTACCGCAAAAATATGGGAACTTTCTGACCTAGTTCATCTCCAGAGGAGAAGATGGCAGAGCCAAGGCGGGAGTTGTAGTGCGAGTTGGCGAAGGCGGTAAAATTGTTCTGTAGTCGACGGTGTCGGAGGTAGAGCACTACCAAGCCGCCACATACTCCCAGCAGCAGCAGGAAGAGGACTGGAACCACGACTGCCGCCATATCCTCAGACTGGCCTTCACTTGGTGAGGCCTCACTTGCTCCTTGGAACAGAAAAGACGCCCTTCTTCAGTAGCTTTTCCCAGGTTTGCAAACAACATGTATGGAACTTGCTCTCAACAGTTTATAACGAGAGGGAGAACCAATATACTGATGGTATCATTTCAAATAAATGGCATAATCAGTATGATTCAATCCAAATACAATTTGCAACCTTTATGACATATGTAACGTTGGAATGTAAAACGAAGTTTGCCCCCCGCCCCCCCCATCACATCCAGAACAAATTCCAGATCTGCATGAAAATGGTTGTGCCTTGTTAAAAAATATGCTGCTTTCATGTTCAGGCCAATGTCCGAAATTACATCCAATCAGGGTCATAGATGTTGGAACGTCAAAACACTTTTTGGCCTGAGACACCACCCAATGGATTTAAAATGAAATTTTAAAAATGTGCTTGAACTGCTTACATTCAGCTTTAAGTGGAGGGTATTTACAGTACATCCCCACAGATGGACCGTGTAGGAATTTATGTGCCTCCCATTTTCGAAAGGACCAAAAGCAACGGGGCAATTGGTGGCTCTGCTCTTCCATGGCCTGGTTGGCATGTATGGATGGCTGCCGGTGCAACTGGTTGCCTTTTATTCATTGATAATGATGACGATGATGATGAAGATGCTGACAAAAGTAGGAAGATGAATTCCGAAGTGGTTGGGGCCATGATATCTGCTCATACTCAGACAAATGCTTCAGAATTCAGTAGGCGGCACTTCGTACTGCAGATGCTGTGACAGCAACCCAATCAATAGTTTGTTTCAGGCAATTCAACTGACCTGAATCCGATTGAGCATGCATCTCGTCAGTTGCAGTAGAGTCCTGGCAGGGATGAAATCCGGCGTCTGGCCGTGTTTATATGCTCTCGATCCAAAGGATTAGCAATCAAGTATTAAAAATAATGTTAATTTGTTGTCAATTTGTCCCTTTTGTTCCCTTAAAAAGTGGGAGGCACATAAGCAAACTTTTGCAATTGCTAGAAGGTTGATCTGAGATTGTAAATACATCCCCTAAAATGAAAGCAGAGCCTGCAGATTGCATGTTTCATTTCAAATCCATTGTGTTGGTGTGAATGGACAAAAAATTGAGAATTATGTCAAAGTTCTCTCTCTCTCTCTCTCTCTCTCTCTCTCTTGGCGCATCTTGGTGCCGAGGAGCTATGTTGAAGTGAGTTGAGCAGAAGTGCTTTGCCGCTACTTTGTTGCATTTCTAGACAATTCTAAAAGTTTCTTATCTGTGGAGTTTGACTGGTGCAAAAACAGGAGTTCACAGTTGATGTGTTCCACAGTACCTGCTCTAATTTGGTTATACAGGAGCAGTGCGGGCTCGCCACACAGTTGGCCGTTGAGCAAGCAGCGGGCCTGGACGGAGAACGTGTAGTTGTGTCCAATCTGCAGGCCGCTGATGCGGAAGTAGGTCTCTGTTGTGTTTCCTAGAAAGGTTGTCTTGTTGGTCAAGCTGTCGTACACGTGCACTTCATACCCCTGTGAGACAAAGAAGCATTCCTGTTACAATTAGTGAAGAGGAGACAGAGGCTGACACTATAAAATACAGAGAGAGAACCCTTGGAAAATGTGATGGTTTGAATTTCAAGGAAAATATGGTCCCAAAATCCCAAAATAAAAGCAGTAATCGTGAGACAAACAGCTTGCCAATTCATTCTTCTCAATCGCAGTCATTTTACAATTTTTTGGGGGGCCATGCAGTATTAGTAATGTTAAATGAAGAAGGAAAATAGCATGACAAAGGCAAAAAAAAAACAACCCAAAACTGTCATACATGCATTTTTTTTTTCAAGTTACATGGATGTAACCTAAGTAGGCAAAATGGTTCCTTAAAATGTAATGTACTCTTGATTTAAAACTCATTAAATGGCAAAATTGTTTCCACTGAATGGGTTGATGAAAAAAGATATTGGTTTAAAATCAAAACAAAATAAAGGGCTAACAGATAAGATTCAATTAAAAAAAAAAATTAATAGCAATAATTCACAGAGTCAAATTCGTATCAAAGCTAATTTCTCACTCTGCTCTCATTGAAAGTCTTCTCTTTGACGGCTAGGCTTTTCCAGAACAGGAATATGTGGTCATTCTCAGTCAGTATCTTCAATGCCTCGGGAGCCGGAAGTGGAACTGCAACAGAAAGAAAAAGAGATTTCTAAGAAATAAAAGAAAAAACAAACACGGCACAAATAAAGATAGTAGTTCATGTTGAGATTTTTAGCATTTAAAAAGAACACCTTCGTACAATGATCCTGTTAATTACCCAGTGCTCGAAACTTCACATTGACTGGGGTCACAATCAATTTGTCAAAGCAACGTACAAGTTAGAAAGGAACAATAATACATACGGTAGTTAAAACGATGCCTCTCTCAATCCATTATATGCTTCAAACTGAATTTCTGGAATTAACTTGAATGAATAGACTCCATTTTCCGCAGTGACACAGCTACATTATTTCAAGAAGTGACATTATAAGAGACCTTGGTAGTTGGTGCAAAGGCATCCATTTCAAAAACACATCACAGCACGTCAAATGATTTGTGAATACCTCCTGTAGGTATGAGTACGTGGCTCCAGCAAAACTATCTTGTTTGCAACTTCGTGACGGGTGAAAGCTCTCGTAGTAGTTTGATGTATTTCACTGTTAACGGTGACTTGCTCAAAAGCTCTTTTCTTCACTGACCACAAAGGTAAGCGGAAGAGGGGGGAGTGTGACAAAGTGTCTCATCACGGGATGCGCCCAATCAGAACAGAGGACACCCCAAACTCAGCAGCTAGGCAGCAAATGACCAAATCACCAGAGCCGTGCACACAATGTGCTGCAGAGTGGATGACAACCAACCAAAGCATTACTGTTTGCCTCCTCTGAGTGGTCACGGCTGAACCACCCATGTTTCTATTTTGTATCTCCTGCTGCTTGTGAATGAATCATTACAAGTGAGACCTGACTCACATGGCGTCCACCGATGCATTGTGTGTTCCAACTTGTCACAAATGAACAGGTGTACCTGTGCTGAGAGAGAAACTGGCTTCCTTGCTCATGTTGCGAAGACGGATGGAGATGCTGTAGCGTCCTCCGGGCTCCAGGCCTTTCAGCTGGTACTCCACCGTGTTGTTCCGAGTAGCTACTTTGTAGTCTCGCTCCACCTTGCGAACTGCATCCCACACATGGACTGCATATGTCTGAACAGAAAGACCGGAAACACGCGATGACACGTTTCTCTTCATCTCTAATGTCAGTGAAATGCATGGCATGCTATACTTACCAGGAGAATTAGTACATCACTGTAATCATTGAAAACTTGACACCGGTTCATAAATCCAATATCTCAACACCAAGCAATGACATTCAAAAGTATTACTCTGTACATTTGCCGAAAAGGTTGCCTTCACAATAGCTAATTGCTAAGCAAGTCACCAACAGTAATGCATTAGTAAAATCATAATTACATTAAATATGTCCGTGGCATAAATGTAATGAAGAAAACATCGATTCTGAGCCATTTAAAATAATTACATAAGAAAGAGCCGAGAGCTGTACCAGAGATGTGTTTGGTGTATCATATGGTGGCTGCCATTTAAGTGTGGCCTCTGTCTTGTCTACTTTCACACGGTGAAGATTCCTGGGTGGTAGCCGTTCATTGGGAATCATTTTCACCACAACATGCTCAGATGGAGGACCCAAGAAGGGGGAAACAGCCCGAACCTAATTGTGGAAAATCAACCAAAATGCAAAGAGTAGATGACGCAACATTTCTCAGCCGACACTCATGTGTAACAAACCCTATCTGGGTTAGAGAAAAAAAAAGCAGCAAATGTGTAACTTTCATCAAGTATTTAACTGGCATGAAATAATCTGAGCAGCAAACGGAGTGTTTGCTTATGGAAGACTCACCAGAAAAAGGTACTGCTCGCTACTGTCTACAGTGACTGTCAGATTGGTCAGAGTGGTGGAGACCTGACGAGGACGATGGTACAAATCCAGGAATGATGTAGCATAAAACACCCCATACACCTACATATGAACATACACATCAGCACCGTCATTAAATCTTGAATCGAAAAGTTGAAAAGAGCATTTTTAATATGATCATGATAAAATATACTGGACACTCAACGGTGAAAACCAGGTCTCTCTTGTTGACCCAAAGCAAGACCTGTGTCAAAGCACTCGCATTCTCAGTTTTCATCCACATGTCTTAATTACTTTATGCTGTAATTCACAGATAATAGGGATGTTCGATACCACTTTTTGGTCAGACTACCGTATTGGCCCGAATATACAACGGTGTTTTTTGCATTGAAATAAGACTGAAAAAGTGGGGGTCGTTTTATATTCGGGGTCTAGACATTATACCCATTTACGACGCTAAATGGCGCCAGATATCATTGAAGCAATGCTGAACTTGACTCCCCAGGCCAAAGTGAAACCCTGTCACCAAGAAGAAAAATAAAAAATAGCGGTAAGAAAGAAAAGAGAAGAAAATAATAGAAGAGATAACAGAAAATGGAGAAACGTAGCGACAATCTGAAGAAAAGTGGGTTGAAGATCGGCCAGGTTAACCGGCAGCTGAGGAGAAGTTATGATGTAATTTACATTTCAAAAACCAGGAGCCATTCATTTACGAATGTGATTGCACTTTAGTTTACATATTTAAATGTTCAGATATTAAGATTTGAATGAGGCAAAATAACATGCTTTTTGTCTCAAATATATTGTTATAATCATTTGTTTCAGATGTACTGTTATTATTTTCTGTATAAAAATTAATTTGGTGTTCAAAAAGTCTTTTTTCAAACTTGAGTCTTGAAAAAGAGGGGGTCATCTTATAATCAGGGCCATCTTATATTCGGGCCAATACGGTAATACCAGTACGCATCCACTCTAAGAGTAAACCGATACTGAGTTTCGATACTCAAAAAACTGATTTTTTTTTAACCCCGTTCCATTACACACACACACACACACACACACACACACACACACACACACACACACACACACACACACACACACTCGCTTGCACGGCACAAGGTCCAAGTGCATATGTGAAACTTTTAACGAGAGTCAATCGTCATTGGCGCCCAAACCGGAAGATACATCATCGTTTGAGATGTCAGAGATAAATGTATCAATTTTACTCCTTGTATCCTATTTATCCTGCCCATCAAAAAACAGATACAGTATGCATAGATTTTACAGTATTCCTATGATAACATTTCATTTACATTTTTAGTCCCTTTCATGAAATGTACCTTTGCAGATAGCCCATTGGTGATGGTCCAGCTGCAGTCCACAGCAGTTTGGTTGAGGGCTCGGGCTTTGAGGAGGGGCTGGTCTGGCTGGACACCAGTAGTCTGATAATGAGACAAGGCTGTGGCACTGTCACCTATACTGGTGTGAGCCCATACAGCCACCTCATACACCGTCCCTGCTGTCAGGTTCATTGCTAGAAATTTGAGAAAGAAAACATTTTATATGATGACCATTTCAGGTGAGTTGGATTTTATCTCACATAATAACAATAAACCAGTCAGATGGAGTAGTGATTCCCAAAAACTGTGGTGTTTCACTTACTGGTCTGTAAATTATTTAAGATGTCCATGTCTTTTTTCAATTCCTTCAAATCAACTTTGTATTTAACTAAATGAGCTCAAATTTCAAAGAATGTAAATTTGTTAGGGAATTCATACATGGCAATGACGAGTGATGAAAAAAGCGGAAGGGGCGTGGCCTGGGCGGGGGCGTGGCCTGGACGGGGGCGTGGTTACTTACAAAAGTGGCACTAAACATGCTGAAGATGAAGTGTATTAAATTTACACAGTTTGAAAATTGAACAGAAAAAAATCCCAAGATCGCCACAATTCTTTCAAGTGAAAATTTGTGCAATTTTGCCTATGCATTCCTGGTGAGCACCAATATGTTACTCCGAATTTGCTGCTCAAAATCAAAACTAAAAAAGTAAACACATCCCCTGCCATATTTAAGATTTGTTCATGACTTGTATTCATAAAGTGCTGTGTAAATGTGATAAAAAGCTGTTGATTCTTACCTCATACAGTGATAGTGAATATTTATTATGCATACAATTTATTATGCATAACCGTGCTTTATTATCCAAGACAAAACGTGAATTATCAATATGAATATAAAACGCAAATAAAAACAAATAAATGTTATCATGCTGTTGCTACAAATGCATACCAAATAAAA